TCTTGCATGTAGTTGGACTATTTTGTTGATTATTATCATTTGCCTTTTCTTCTCATGAAAAGATAAGTCAGAGTAATTTCAAAGTTGATCTATTTGTTTTTCTGAGAAATTTGTATTTTGCTCTGCATGCATCTAAGTATTGTGCTGATCAAAAGGGTTATTTCACTATGATGTAGGAAGCTGCAAACCCCTTCGAGTTCTGTGATGTAGTCACTACCACTACTCACAAGAGTCTCAGAGGACCGAGGTCTGGCATGATCTTCTACAGGAAAGGCCCTAAGCCTCCAAAGAAAGGACAGCCAGAAGATGCTGTTTATGATTTTGAGGACAAAATCAACTTTTCAGTGTTTCCAGCTCTCCAAGGTGGCCCTCACAATCACCAGATCGCTGCATTGGCTGTGGCATTGAAGCAAGCCATGTCACCTGGATTCAAGGCGTATGCCAAGCAGGTTAAGGCCAATGCTGTTGCTCTCGGGAATTATCTGATGAGCAAGGGCTACAAACTCGTGACAGATGGAACTGAGAATCACCTTGTCCTCTGGGATCTTCGACCTCTTGGCTTGACTGGTACTAAAAGTTTCACTTCTTTATGTAGCTATTTGGTGTTTGTTTCTCTTAAATTTATCTATCCCTTCACCTTGGATTTGTGTAGGAAACAAGGTTGAGAAACTTTGTGATCTTTGCAATATTACTGTTAACAAGAATGCTGTATTTGGAGACAGCAGTGCATTGGCTCCTGGTGGTGTGCGTATAGGTAAGAACATTCCTTTGATTTACTTGCATCAGGTTGTAAAGCTCTGAAAAGTGGTAGTTCAGTATTAGACTTTAAATTCTTTTACTTCTCTAAATTTGTTTTCTATAAAGCAAAAGGAGGTTGGCTTTAGTGCATCGGCAAGGTTGCTTCATTTCCCAACTTGGCATCAAGGGTTAGAATCACAAAGACAGACTTAACCTACTTAGTGAAGGTCTACACTTGTGAACTAATGGAGGACTACTTGCCATACAACCCTTCATTTTCTAGCTCAATGCTAATTTTTCTTTGCTCGATATCAAAGGCATAATGAACTTGGAAATGCCTGTGGAATCTAAGGTTGCAGAGTCTAAGCTTCTATTAAGTGAACAATTAACAATGTATTTTATTCTCAACAGAATTTCACAGAGTTATGGATGAAATTATAGAATTTTCTCAGGTTGCTGACCTTGTTATCCTCTTTATGTAACTTCTTCCCTTCATTCCTCTAAATCTTGTCTTTTGTATCTTTTCCTACCTTACTACTGTGAGTGCACATTGGGTAGAACCTAGTATTTTGGTCTAATTAATGCTGCACTCATTTATTTGATACCCTGTTTTATTGGCATCATTGCGATTGGTGCACCATTGGTTTGAAATCCGGGAATGAAACCACAATAGACTTTTTGTGAAATATGGAGAGATTAGTTTAGTTTCTTACTGCAGATTATTTCAGCTTTAATATTTTAGGTTGCGTTATCTAAAATTTACTCTCTGCAAGTTCTGCTACCCACTCTAAGATGGAAGTTCCCCTGTGTTCGTCTCTTATCAGAATAACCGATGTGGATTCTAGACCATGAGGTGTTCTAATGAGGATAGTAAGAATTTGGAAGAAGATTGCTGTGGCCTGATAGGCGTGGAAGTGTTGGATTAGTCTTTATGAAAATAGTGAATATCACTAAAAACATAATTGTTAGCATATTCGGTCATGTTATACAAAATCTACTCTATACAAGTTGTTACATTGGCTGGTAGGCAGTGGTCATAACATGGGACCTACATGTCCAATAGTGCTTTTTTGTTTGAGCGTTTCTGAACTTGTGATTGTGGCTAATGTTACAATTTTAATAACAAATGTATGTGCACAAGGATAGCCAAATTGATCATTAGACAATGGAACTTGAGAGAACTAAGTTCACTTAAGGCAGAAATGTTATATATATGTAAAATGCTCCTAATAAGGTCAAACATGAACGATATGGTTAAATTGTTGAAGTAGAAAGAGTCAATTTAGGGTATAAAATTAAACAAGACACCAGAGTTTTCAAGGATAATATTATAGAATAACTAACAGAAGAGCTGATATAGGATGTTATTGAGGATACTGTACAAGGATTTAGAAAGGACATTCATGGTTCTAGTATTATATGCAAAAGCTTTCTTTGATAGGTCTGTTGAATTTATGGAGTATATTTAAAATATTTTTGTTAAGTTAGCTAATCTGTTTTTGCTCTTCCTAGCTCTTCCCTACATAGATTCCCTTCATCTCTTTACTCCTACAGCATCATATGATTTTGTTTCAGTTTAACTAGTCCTCCATGATTAATATGGGCTCTATCTTTTTTGTTTTACCTCTACAAAAATGGGTGCATTAACCCTTGAGAAACGTATTCTACGTTGTTCGATCATTATATGCTTCTGCAATGCTTTTTCTCATCGTCATAGGAGTTCCATGTGATTCATCTTTCAGGCACTCCTGCCATGACATCACGGGGCTTGGTCGAGAAGGATTTCGAGCAGATCGCCGAGTTCCTTCACCAGGCTGTGACCATTTGCCTGAGTATTCAGAAAGAACATGGGAAGCTGCTCAAGGACTTCAACAAAGGCTTGGTGAACAACAAGGACATAGAGGAGCTCAAGGCAGCGGTCGAAAAGTTTGCCGCATCATTTGACATGCCTGGCTTTCAAATGTCTGCAATGAAGTACAAGGACTAGTTGGAAAGAAAAAAGGTACGAGGTCTAGGGCATCGTCGTCATCGGCATGCAACTCTGCTCATGTTTCTTTCAACCCCTTATATTTTGATAAATCTGTGCTTGGTTTTGCTTGTTTAATTGTCCACACAAACTCTTCGCTTTTGCTTCTACTTCGTCCTCTGATGCAAGTTCATGTGCTTCGAAGGTAAACTAATTAGCATAATGATCCTTCTGAATAATGATATTTTTTTGACCTGTGAGAAGGTTTCTTATCACTATTGTCAAATTACTAACCGCAATACCTTTTTTTCTTAAGTTTTATAAACGTAGGCATGATGAATGCCAACTTGTTCTTGTTTGGTTGACATTTATTTGGGTTCAGATGAATGAAATCAAGTTTTAGCATGGTGTATATAAAATCCATTTCAGTGATGCAGCTCTTATACCAGATCAATTCGGATATCATTTTTTGTTATTTGATGAGATAATCGATTCATTAATGGGATTGTGCTCAATAGCTTTGCCACTGACCTTTCAAAAGATTGTAGTCAATCATATATCGTACCGGTCCATCAGAATGTTGCCATTTGGAGCAATTTAAAGCCTCCTGCTCAAGTTAGGCTTTTCCAGCCAAATTAATTAATATAAGGAATTTGTTTACACGAGGAATTATGACCTATAATATCAAAATTGTGTGTCATGAACACCTGTTTGAAATTGTGTACAAAAATATATGAAATTACAACTCATAAAATGGTCAATGAGAGGGCAAAACCAATATATATACAGTCAACACAAGTATGATGAAGCAACACTACACTTGAATCAAATAATATGGAGGAACAACCACAACAAAATTATACCTCGAGGAAAAATTAGAGCATATTGTCTACGTTACAGGATCAGCTGGGACTACCAGCAATCAGAGTTCAGATTGCTGCCTACTTTCTGCCACACCCATCTGTTGCAAGTGATGGAGCACAACAATGCTGAAGTAGCAAGTTCTGCACCAGCATCCTCTCATAAACTTTCTGCACCTGTACATATCTCTTGAACCAGCTCTCAATTTGCTCAAATTGATGAACTTGGTTTTCAGTATTTGATGACAAGCTGCCGTAGCCAAAGCTAGTCCATCACCATGTGGAATGCATCGTAAGGTATGGGAGATGAGTGCCATTCAAAGTGTTCCTGATCCTGATAAATTGTTGAGGAAACCAAAACATGTAAAGCATTTAAGGCAAAAGAAATTCTATCGAGTATACTCGGATGCAATCCTTCAGTGACAATGACTTTTGTGTTACTACATGTCAATAGATTGTTTTTGTTCTATTTAGTGTAGTATTGTCCATAAACCATTTAGACAAAAATGACTGTTAAACCATGTTGATGATTTGACATTCCGTGGATAATTTAGGAACTTTCACATCTCTCCACGGTTTTGCATACGACAAAAATGAAAATGATAATACGGAGTAACTCATTTTTATTTAAAGCTCCCATTTGAATTGTGATAAGGTCGTTTAGTCGCATACTGATTGAGGAATATGAGAACCAATGATTCATAAGTTCGTCAGGTCTTCCTTATTCTTGAAAGTATTTTTTAAAGCTCTTACGAAATAGGGATTATACATAAGATTTTTAAACAAGAGGTCAATTTTATCTGTTGACTTCCTACACTATATGTTTCCGATTAAACTACCCAATCAAGCTTCACATCATGGAGTCGAGCGCGAAATCAAAAACAAAGAAATCGGGTTCCGGTCTGGTTTAGCCATAAACGGGCTGAACCCATCAGCTCGAGCCGTGTTGTGGAGTAGGATAAGGTTAGAGGCTCTGGAGGGGCAGTGAAGTTAGTTAGGTGGACGTTATCCTCAGTACACCTTTATGTTTTTTGGTTTAATAATAATAATAATAATAATATTATTATTATTTATATCTCCTCTAAATCCAACCACCTCCCCGTCGGTGCCCGCTGCCTAAACGCTGTTACCGGTTCCCTCCGTCACCGAACCTGAGGCGATCCCACATTTCCCAAAATGCCCCCCCACCGTGTCGCTCCACGTTGATAAATATTAATTTTTTTTCTTATTTTGGGGGAATTATAGAAGTGAAATTTAAATTTTCAAAAATAGTAAATTTGATATAATTAAAAATGAAAGAGAGATGCAATTGGGGAAGGCCCGGAAATTTAGGAGGGTGGTTGGTTAAATCCCACGAGGATTAGGGACACTGTGGTAATTTGAAGTGGGAATAGAAGGTGACATAAAACATACGTTCCCATCGCTTCGGTGCCTTCGACACCTCGAATACGAGAGGGGAGAGCGCGGAGACAACCACAGAGAAAAGATCAAGAGAAGAGGAGGAAGAAGAAAAGGGGAGAAGAAACGAAAGACAACACTAATCGAAGAGAAGACAGGTGGTTGATGTGAGCCTCCATCTCGATCACCTCCTCCTCGTACCTCCCTCGAGCAGCCGTCGGCATCGCCGCTCGCCCTCCCGGTCCGAGCGTCGTCATCTTCCCACCGGCGTCAAACCCGGTACGGACTCATCATATCCTTTTTCTTGGATTCTTGTCTGTGTTCCTTTTGGTCTGCCGTGGTGCCGATGCTTATTTTCGTGCTGTACGTGGTGAGTGGACTGGGGGGTGTTTGGGGTCGGGTTCTTGAGGGTTGGCGGCCACCTCGGCTCACGGCTTTGGACCTTGTCGGTGGTTTTCCGTCATCTGGGTTTGTGCGGGCGTGGAATATGTGTGGGTGAAGGCTGGGGAATCGGATTTCCCGAGATCCGAGGTGGTGGTTTGGTTTGGTCTGGTGGACCTTTCGACTTTCTACCAGATTGAGGTTCTTGATGGGTTTTGATCGTTGATCGCGTGTTGCTGGAGGAGCTTGGGGCCTGACCACCCTGTTAGATTTGTATTCTAGGGATTGCTGTTTTAGTAGAGCGTGTGGGTTGGAGTTGGTTTCTGTTTGCTCTGTGTAATCTGATTAATTCTATACTGATGAATGATGATAATGTTGGTTGATGACCAGTGCCTGTTCACGGGAGCAAGGTGGAGTTGTGATGTTTGACTCGGGTATTGTGGAGTCAACGGGATAGCACATCAAGGCAATTGATATAAGACCGAGTCATAGTGGAAAATTAGTTTCCTTACCATATGTTGAAGTTACTGTTCATTTGTGTGCATCATGAGGATCTTCGGTAGTTCTCTGTTTAGTTCTGCAGATTCATGCCAGTTTGAAACGAAAATTTTATGCTTTGAATTTTGTACTTGTTTCTGTGAATATTTCCCATCAGTTGTGACAATAGCAGTTGACATAAGTATGATGCATCAGTACAATCAGCTCGCTTAAAGGACAGAAGACTTTGCTGCTGCAGTCTCTTTTACTTTGTCTTAGTCTCGTCCCTAAGAAATCTTCATATCTTTCTAGAGACAAACCTAAATAAAGACAAAAAAAAAAAGTTGATGGAAATTTACTTAAATTTGAGTATAATTTGAATCCATCCCCAAAAAGGTAGCAAAGAGCTACTTGACTGCATTCATCCCTCCGCTTCTTTCTTGAAGATCTCCAATATTTCTGCATCAGGATTGATGCACGATGGAGCTCAACAATGAGATGATTCCCTTTGACTTGGTGGTGAGCCAGGTTGGAACTCTATTAACATCCATTGTCATTTCAGTCACATGTCAGTGTTCAACTAAATTGATTGTTAAGCTGGAGTGATGTGGGTGGGCTCCGGGATAGTCTCAAACTCTCGACCAATCTAGTTGATTTATACTGCTGGATGTTCTGGGTTTGAGGTCGAGCTGTTAGTTTGTAATCCAAATACTTAGATTCATGGTGTGTCCTATAGGGCAATACGACAACAGAAGATGGATCACAATTGCCAATGACAATTTATGCCTCTGGTGAGAAAGATATAGCACCTAGTTATTGTGGACACACCATATGATTGTGAACTGTTCTGGACAATGGAAGTCCAGATTGAATGAAGCAACCATAAAAGTTTTTAAGCTGTCTGTTGTGAAAAGGAATTATGTTTGGATATTAAAGAGGAAAGGTACCTATACTTTGAGAATGTTATCAAATGATATTATCAGATCCTTTTGGAATCCCTTTTCATTCTGAAAATGACTTAATTCTTATAGGGCATCATATTCTGGATCCAATCATTTGGCATCACTTTTATTCTTCAAGATATGATCAGAACCATTGGACAAACTAGATAACTAGATGGCTTGCTTAAGTGGATTTCCATCATGTTTTCCTGCGAGTTTGATACGATGATGATGCGTCTGCAGGGAATGTATTGCTAAAACATGAGAATTGATAAACAGAACAAGTATTGCAATTGACTTGCTGAGATCCAACAATTTTGAGCTTTTCTAGGATAATTTTAATAGGACGTGAATGCTAATTGAATCTACCTTTTCACAGTTTTAATAGGACATTGAGTCATGTTTTGCATCAAGTGCATTTATTTGATTACCTTCTTATTGGCTTATGATTAAGGAATTCGTTATCCACATGGATGAATGTGCTAAACCCATCCCCGAAAGGAAGACTCCCTCCAAACCAAAAGAAAAGGTGAAAATAATATTCTCCATTAAAAACTTCTATAATGTCTATTATGTGAAGAGCTTTTGCAAAAAGCTGAAGCAATACCAAACCTGTAAAATGTCTAAGAAGTCAGTTATTTTTTAACCCTAGTTTGAAATGTAGGCATCATTTTTTCGTTATATTTTGATTTAGTGGATATATAAATCAATCAGGTATTTTTATCATGTAGCCCTGGCAATTTTTGTGATCTACTGCTATTAGTTTCCAGTCCATTATCTAGGCCAATTTATCTTGAACTTTTTGTTCAGCATTAGTTTTTTTTTTGTTCATATTTTCTAATAGTATTCAGTGGATGTTTATTTTTTCCATTAATTTATCCTCTTCATTCAGAGCAAGGCAGTCAGCAATGGTTAGCATAAGGCGAAGAAGATATTTGGGGCTCTGTTCTGGTAATGCAATTTACTCAATCTATAAATGATTTCACAGCATGCATGATGCAAATGACTGTTTTCCCTTTAATTTTATTAGTTTGGGATTGATGACTTATAGATTCTATACCATGGACCGTGATTCTTAGCAGATATGCATGCTTTGCGTACTAAGTGATTTCTCTGTGGTGGAAGATAGTATTTCTATTCCATCTCTAGTTTGATCTTCCAAGGTTTCAATTGTTGTTAATGTCTCCAAAGAAGTCATGTTGATGAATAAAAAGGACATATCAGTAAGAGTAAAAAGGACTTGGTACCTTCAGTAAGAGTAAAAAGGACATATCAGTGCATGAGGCTTCCGCCAATGTGGGATCCAGTATATATATGCAATCTTACCTTTAAATATTTAAAAACGTTGTTTCCGTGACTCTTACCTGATCTTTCAGATCGCAAAGGAACTACCAAGGTTCGCCCTCACCTTCAGTGAGAGTCAAAAACTTAAGACATTAGTTAACTTGAATCTTTGTGACATGGATGGATAAATTACATCTCTGACATTTTACTTCTGATTACATGGAAGTGGAACTATCATGTCCCATTTTAATAATTGAATGAATTTATAGCATGCTTGTTGGGCCTATCATTCTTGTAAGAGTTCTAACATGATGTTGCAGGAAAAAGTTCTTTCCCGGTTGTGGTTCCTCAGCCAATTGACAATGGCAATTCTGTGGAAAATCCTAATCAACATGTCAAGCCAGTCAGTGTATATCCCATATCTTCAGTTAATACAAGTCCTCAAAAGCTGGTATATATTTAATTTTAGAATCGTAGGTTCATTTTTCTCCAGCTATATTCCTGCCACATGTGTCTTTTATCAATCATTTATATGTTATAATTTGTCACCTTTGTCAAGACATAGTTGTTGGCTCAAAAGTCTTACATTTATAAGTTTTACTTAGACTTTTAAAAACCTACTTCATCAATTGCAATCGTTATATTCTACGTTCTGTTTGATATGTGATTTTCATGTACTGTAATGTTCATATACTGTAGGCTTATACTAATAACACACATTTACACTCTTTCTGCTGGTATATATAGTTTGCCCTTAATGAGTGTTGTTATTGTCAGTTTGGTACGTTAGTTGCTTAGATTTGTATACTATTTTATTAAAATAATTAATTTGCTTTTGAGTATGCAGGCATGTTTACATCAATATTATAGCATGTGTTCTGTCCTTTTTCAAGTTTTACTGTTGCTCCTATCGGGAATGTTAGAGGAATAAGTTCATTTTACAGTTAATGGAGTAGATAGTATCTCATTTAACTATAATGGTGATCGATTAAAGCTAATAACTCATCTTGCAACTATTAGCATTCCGTCGGACGTGGTCCATTCTATTGATCCTGAAGAATGATGCTTTAGACAATATTCATCATTTTTTAAATACAAACCACCAAATCGAATTTTTGACAACAACTGCATCCTTTGTTGTTGCTAACATATGCCACTATTTTGTTTTTTCAAATTTGGATTGTCAAAAGCTGGTCATTGACCCAAGGTCACAATGGCTTGTTAAAATCCTTTTTTTTTATCCTATCTTAGGTTATGTGTATACCATTACTTGGGATCTGAAATCCGAATACTGTTTAATTAAGAAAGATTTTTGAAATGCTTTTTCTAATTGATTGAGTTCATATTTACATAGTTCTTAATATACCAAGAAACCAAGACTGTTCAGCATCCACTTAGTGTTCAAGCTGAGCCAAATATACTTGTCACATTCATTGATAAAATTCAAGAGACAGGGATACGTGGTTCCAAATCTAAGGCACAAGGAAATTGATCCGTTTGTTATAAATTAATGGAGTATGCTAGAGTGCACATTAAGTCTAGTATGAGGCACATCTAGACAACAGTTTACAGGTTATTCCTCTCTATCACAATTCTTAGGCTGAAGGTGGTCATGAGGAACTGTGACTAGAAATATTTCAGGTTTGCAAAAACTATCAGTCGAACTAACACTCAAAATATACAAATGGTATGTTCACATTTCATAAAATGACTGACCTTTTATTTTTCTATGTTCATATTCTAGTTTTAGGACAAGTAGCTCAATTCTTTAAAGTAGTATCTCTGATTCTTTTTGAGTTGCAAGATGCATCTGGGAGTAAAAAATAATGTTCTTTCAAAAATTCGGATAATTTCTTCCATTGATGAAATAGTCTTATAGTTTGATTTTGCATTAGTTATGATCCTTTATCGATCAGCACCTATATCTGTCAGTTGCACCAATAGGAACTAAGCCTCAGATTTATAAGGGGGAGAGTATATACATTATGCTGATTAGGTATCTAAAAGCTTGAACTATCAGTGGCAGTGCTGGTAGTTTTGGGTATCTAATAGCAATGTGCAATTATCAGTCTCATGTGAATTAGGTTTCATTTAAATAGTCCACATAATATGTTTGTTTGTTGATCTAGTAGTATGCATTATTTAGCCATGACCATCAATCAATAGTTATTTCTACATGATTAATTTACTGAAAGACTAGAGGATTTCCAGGCAACATTGTAGCATAGTAAGAAACAATTGTTGTAAAACTGACTTCACTAATTTAGCTAATGATGGCTATGCTGAATTCTTTCTGAGGTTCGACAGAATTGTTCTCATTTTGCAAACTATTATGCTAGTTTGATCTGGCATGTATTGCTTCTTCCATATATTAAGTCATGCATGTAATTCACATATATGAAGATCAACATATTATGCCGGAAGGTATATGGACGTCTAGAAAGGTTGTTATTTGGTTTACTTTACCTTTTCCCCCTTCCGGTGCCTTATGCTCCACTGTACTATCATTGTTAAGTGATTGTGTAAACCATGTAAAACTGAGTTCCCTGATTTAGCTAATGATGGTCATAATGGTTATGCTCAATTCCTTTTGGGGTTTGACAGATTTTTTTCTCGTTGGAGCAACCTATTATGCTAGCTTGATACGGCATATGTTGCTTCTTCCATATATTAAGTCCTACACGTGATATATAGAAGATCAACATATTACACTGGAAAATTTATGTACTTCTAAAAAGCCTGTTATTTGGTTAAGTTTACTTTTTCTCCTATCTGTGCCTTATACTCCAATTTCACTGTACTACCATGGTTCAGTGGTTGTGTAAACCTTTTTCTACACCTTATTTCTTTAGAGTTTATACTATGCAGTCCAATAGACTTTCGAAATGAGACACTGAAAAAGTGACTCTACCACTGAATGATATTTCCATATACTTTTGAAGTTTGAACCAATAGGCCCCTTGCTGGTATCTATGTCCACTCAATCACCATAACTCATTATTGACAAACCCTTTCCTCGAAGACCTAATGTAATATTATTAAGCCTAAGCTGTAGTCCTTTGCTGAGGTATTTCCATGCTCATTGTGTTCTGCAGGTAAATAAATCTGAAACATATTCTGGATCCTCAAATGTATCTGGCTTGACTACGCCGAAGGAGGCGCTGAACCATCATTGTCCTGGTTTGTTTTTTTCCTGAAAATTCACTTGATATTGAATGCCTTGAAACCTTTATATATTTATTCTCTGAATATGGAATACCTTCAGGTACGAATAATCACGCATAATGTTGTAGTTCCTTTAATTTGATTTACTTAGAAGAAGGAATAGGTGACTAAGAGCCAGAAATTTTTAATACACTGGGAAAGGAAAACAGAAAATTTCATACACTAGAAAGAATAATTTTAATTCATGTAATTTTTCATCAGTTCTTGAAGTGTGACTATTCAATATGCAAGTAGAAATTTAAAGTCTTTTTTTTTGTATATACATGTTTGTGTATAAAAGGGGTAAATTTCGGTTCATTTCTTTTTCAGAGATTGCCATGTTCTACATTTACCGAACTGGATTGCTGATCCATTAAATTATTTTTTTGTAGAAACAAATTCGAACAGAAAACACACGTACACTTGTTATTAAGACTCACTAAGCTTGCCATGTCTTTTAAAACAAGAGTTGAAAATTGTAGAGTTTTTCTCATTCTGTTGACATCAACTTAATCAAACTTTCATAAAAGGAACTGACTTAGTGTTTACTGTTTTAAGCGAGTTTTTTTTTTAATTGTTTATTTAACTTACATGCCATTTTGCTACTCTATTTGAGGTAAAGAAATAAAGCGCAGCAAGCGACACAGGAGAAAGCACTACGAAGACCAAGAACCACGCAAAATGACTGGGGTTTACTTTAAAAATATGAAATGGCAGGCAGCAATAAAAGTTGATAAGAAACAGATTCATTTGGGAACGGTCGAGTCTCAGGAAGAAGCTGCTCGATTGTATGACAGGTATTAATCTATTAGAGACACTTAGCTGGTATTTTAATTTTTGTTTGTGCCACAAAGCTTCTAGGCTTTCCGAGAATATCGTTGTCTTTCTTGATTTATCTTCTAGGTTTCCCAACAATATCATTGCCTTTCTTTATTATTCTCAACCTAACTGGTGACAAGATTTTCAGTGGAAACTTCCACAAATTAGCTTTGCCCACCTGCTCCATGACTTTGATATTTCTTGTAAAATCGGAGATAATTTATTGTACAGGATTCAGGGAACAATTTCATTAGGCAATTGTCCAGCTAATTGGTTATGGTGTCTAGTTCAGAGTATGACAACTGATGTTGACTTGACTGATTACTAGAAGATACTGATGTTGTAGTGCTTCCGCGTGACTTACATTTCCTGCTGCGTATTCCTTTTATGAGGAGTTCATCTTTACCTACAGAGCGGCTTTCATGTGCGGAAGAGAACCCAATTTTGAGCTCACGGAGGAGGAGAAACAAGAACTAAAACAGTACAACTGGGATGATTTCTTGGCCATGACTCGCAGCGCAATCAACAATAAGAGTAAAATGAAGCTCATTTGTATTTTATTGTTCGTCATGCTCAACGGAGCTGTTCTATTCTCATTTCTTTTGGTTTTTGATTTCCAGAGCACCAGAGAAAGATTGGTGCAGGGAGACGAAAGAAGTTGGAGAGTCAACTGCCAAATAACAACCGGAAACAGGAGGGAGGCACCCCTGTTTCATCTATTTCCGAGGATGATGAAGATGTTGACGTCGAGACATCTGCCTCGTGATCACTGTGATGCAAGGAATCCAGAATACAAGTTCTAATCATTTTTACTATCGAGGCTAGCTTATGCATACATATACACATTTCATAGTTTAGCTTTATTAATTACCTCATTAGTTTGCTCTATATAAAGGCCCCTATTAGGGCAAGATTTTTGTTGCCATCTTCTAATCAAAGACTCCCATTTAAGATGTCTCAACTTCTATGATTGTGTTGACCATCGTTTGCCTTGTCGAATTCATGCAAATGTTGATCGATTGTGTGTGAGCCTTAAGACCTAAATCTTGAAGGGAGACTTCGTTCAGTTGTGATCCAAGTTATTGATTGTTTGACTACTAGTATGTCGATCATCGACATTCTCCTCTTGTACAAAGAACAGTCGACTGTTCTGCACTGACATAAACTAGTTCTATGAATACAAACCATTACTTCTACTTTGTCCTCGACGTCTTGCGACACTCTCCTCGAGAGAAACATTGGAATACATCCCTATCGTAGCATCAACGAAAGCAATCCTCATACAGAGGTCACTGAACACCCGTTCTACATCCTGGACACGTTATAAGAGAAACTTGGAATCTTTAGATAACTTATTTTAAAAATTTATATTAGCATCTATAGTTACTAATTACCATAACATCATCAATGAAAATATGTAAACAAAGGATAAAAAGATAATTTTAATATTTTAATTGATGGTACTGGACCGTGACACCGTTAGGAACCGTGAGTAAATGTTAGTGGATAAGGAAAGTGGCAACGAGAGATGAGGATTGCTTTGTATCTACGTCAACACCGACGTAGTTGCCAAGCAACATTGCTTTACATCTATGTCGGTGTCAACGTAATTGTCGAACGATGAAATGATCGCCAATGCATATACCGAACGACGATGCTCGATAATTGTCTTGATATTGACACATATGTAAAGCAACGAAAGGATCACTGGACAACTGCATCAATATCGACGTAGATACAGAATGACCCTTACTTTTCATCGTCGTTCTACTCATCAACAACAGTCATCCACGATCTCAGCAGCACTACCGTCCGCTATCACTAATTGAAATATTAAAATTATCTTTTTTTTTTTTTAAAGTAAAACTAATGATATTAAGATAAATAAATTTATATATTTCAGTTTTATAACTATAGAGTTACCAATATAATTTTGTTTAAAGATAAAAGACCAAAATACGTAATTAACCCATCTTTAGATCGAGTCGTATTTATCGTCCGTTACAGAGGTTTGTTGTATCGGGTCTTCGGTTCCCTACTCCTCGACTCTGGTTCTTTTTGGAAGACGGCTTGCTTGCTCTTGCGTAGTCGCGTGCGGTGGGCATGCGGGAGATGTCGTCGGAAGAGAGGGCCGCGGACGCGCCCGGCAGCCGACCTTCGGACGGCTGGAAGGGGCGCATCATTGTCCCCACTCTCCTCGCTGGTCACCCACCTCTCACTTTTTGCCCTCTTTCTCGTGAACTGTCCGTGTAATTATCAGTTCTTCTTAGATCCCAAGGATTCGATTCGATTTGTTCGATTGATTTCAGGGGTGGTCGGTGGAGGAGCCGGATTGGTCTCTAAGCACCGGAAGGTTCTCGGCACGGGCACCATCGCCGCCACCTATGCGGCCGATTTGGCCATCGTTACCGGTTGCTACTGCGGTAATCTGTCGCCTTAGTCTGTTGTTTTGGTTGAGATTAGATAACTCTGTTGCTTTGGGAATATAATCATGGTTCAGTGTGTAAAGATCAATTATTTAGGTAGAAAAAATGTTAGATTATTTCTTTTTATTATGTGTCTTGGTTCTTTCTTTCGATGCTGAGTAATTTGAAGGAAGAATATTTGTGCATTCGGTCGTTTACTGGATCATGACAATCTTATTTACTAAGTCTTTGTTCAGTTTTCCTATATATTTTTCTTACATGGATAAGATTACTTGTAATCCCCCTAAGCGTAGATAAGATTACTTATAATCCCCCCAGCACACAAACTAAGTATAACGAAGCACACATCACAAAATTACAAGTGCGTCTGGTCTTGGAAACGATAGATAGAGAAAAAACAGCTAAATATTGTATTCCTGGATTTATATGTATGTAATGAATTAAACCATTGAAGTTCATAGTCTACCAAATTTCAGTATGTTGGTAGAGATGTAATGGCAAAAATACATAGAAATTGTTTAAGAATCCCTGAAAGGCACATGATAGGTAAAAGAAAAACTTAATTATCGAATAGACCAACTTGAGATGGCATACATAATTCATAATATATCCAATATAAATTGGTTGATTACATTACAAATACCCACTTGCAATGTGAGATGAAAAAAGGTCCAGTGTGCCAAAAATTAGAAAAGTTAGGAAGCGCCAGCTGAAGTCATTGCCTGTAGACCAAGTGAGAATGCATATAAGGAATGCGGAAAAGTGGTTAAGACAAAGTACTATTCTGGAAAATTAATTTTTCATGAAATGGCCTCATCTCATTATTGATTTTGTTCCAATTTCGATCCAATCTCAGGGAAGATGTATTATGTTGTTCTATCTCTTGAGTAAGGAAAAGAAAACAAAGAAGTTTAGAAAGATATATCTACCACTTTAGATATATTCTCCTGTAAAAATTTAATCACTATTGAGTGTTTTGTTGACAGACCAAAGAGCTGGTTGCACAAACATGTTCTGAATGTTGAGATAGCATGGTTTAACACCCACTATAATCATAAATGTTAGGGGCAACTTTTATTCAATAGCACATCTAGCAATATACATAGCTTAGAGACCACCAGCAAAATCTTGATTTCATCACTCCATCAAGATGCCAGAGTTAGTGATTCTAACCCAACAAGAAAACCACCAAAAGATTGGAACAAAGAGATGCCATTTCTCTCTCTTCCTTTTATCTAAAACACAAAATATCATGGTTATGTCTACAAACTTCCTATTTGTCAAAAATAAACTAAGAACGTGTTTTTTTGTTACATTCACTAAATAACTACATAGTTTTTGCTAGAATACAGCTTATAGCAGGCCCTTTAGTGATTAACAATGACCAAAGCAAGAAAGCCGGAGTAATTCTAAACCAAGAGTAACCATTCCAAACCAAAAGCATAGCTAGAATCAAAGAAATTATATTTCAACAAAGATTTTTGTATTGCAGTGTCAACTGAGGATCAGAAATGTCTCATTTTTTGAGGAACAATGATATCGACTACTTGCCCCAGTTTAGCTCCAAGAAAGAAAAAAAGATCAGGAATGAAATGGAAAGGGTTGTTCCTCAGGTTAAATATGATGATTTGGATCGGCAATTGAACTAGGGATTAGGATTGGAGAGCTGGATCAGCTCTGGTGTTTTTGCCGTACAATAAAGTAGAACAATCTAAAAAGTCAAAACTATATTCAGAAAAATAAAACAAATAAAAATAAGAAATGTAACTATTATTTCTTTCTCTTCTTCCTCATTGTTTCTTTCTTGTATTCTTATCCTCTCCCTGCTATTCTCCTCATTTCCTTCCCTTTCTGTTCATTTTCTCTCATTATCCCATAATGAGATAAATAAAACTCATTTTCTCTCATTATTCCTGCTATTCTCTCTTATCCTCTCATTATCCTGTCTTTCCGCTTATTATCCCATAAGATGAATAAAACAAGTCGTGTTCTCTTTCTGCTCATTTTCCCTCTCTTATCTTCTTGTGCTCTAGGCAATATCATGGTTGGTGACCAGTGATTGAAAAAGGCGCTCGGGCGCTCGCCTAGGCGCTCGGGCGAGGCGAGCTGAGGCCTGAGCGCCTCGCTAATGTCCCAGGCGGCGCGCTTCAAACAGGCGCCGCTTGGGCACTCGCCCGAGCCCAGGCGTTGGGCACTTCGGGCGAGCGCCTGGGTAAACCAAGTGACCGAACCAGGATTTTAGGTCTGGTTCGGTCCTGGTTCAGTTGTTAGTTGGTTCAATCGAACTAACTAAACCGATATAACCCTTACCCAACCCTAACCCACTGCCGCTCTCGATCCCAATCCCGATCTCGCTGCTCGTCGCTCCTGCTCCCGCTGCCGCTGCTTGTCGCTGTTGCTGCTCGCGCCTCCCGCGAGCCCTCCCGCGAGCCTTCCCGCTGCTCGCGCCTCCCGCGAGCCCTCCCGCTGCTCGCGCCTCCCGCTCCCTTTCCCTTTCCCGCTGCCGTTGCCGTCGCTCGCTGCTGCTTCCTCGTTTCTCCGTTAGGCTCAGTATACAGTATACTCTTAATTTAATAACATATTTTTATTTAAAATTTTAAATAATTATATTTATTAATTATATTATATATTTTTATATTTTAGCGCCTTGCTTCGCTCGGGCGAGCGCCTACCTCCTCGGGCGTTTTTGGACCTTGGCGCCTTTTGGTGCCTAGCGCTTTTTAAATCACTGTTGGTGACACTTGCTAGTGTTCGAGTAGGGGCCTTGTGGGTCATGTGACTCATGACTTCTGAGCCTTATGTCTCCAGCTATAAGATCCTCTAAAAAGGAAAAAGGGATTAGTTGGGATGGGTTGAACCAACTTGATATCAGGTGGAGTTGGCTGATATGCTTTCTAGGATCGCTGCAACCCAAATATTGGAGTTTCAAGGTTGAGTCAGCTTCTTGATTCTACATGCTGCATGGAGTTAAATGGTCTCAAAGCAGATGAAAATCAAGAGCACTGGAAATTAGTTACCTTTTTGATTCAGAGGAAACTGATTTATGGAACATTAAACTTATACTTTTCATGGTACAAGGCAGAGTGTTTAGACATGTATAGTAGCATATGAGATATGATTAAGGATAAGAGGTTTTTACAGGCTCTGCTACTTTTCTTTTTATGGGTACTCTAAATAGGAATCTTACCTGATCTACTTTGATATTTTGTGTCACTTTATTGATGCCCTTGAGTCTTGCTGCTGTGTTTATACTGATTATTCAGGTGCACGGGAAATTGCAAGAGATGCTCGAGCTTCAGAACCCGATGACCTTTTTAATTCTGTGATAGGAGGAATTGCAAGTGGCGCTCTTCTTGGGAGGCTACAAGGTGGTGAACCTTCTTTATCATCAAACTTTTCTTGCTTAATTTCATATACATATGTACAGTATGTTAACGGAACGAATCAAGCAGGTAATTTTTCAAGAGAAGGTGCATAGATGGCTTAGCATTGTGTTCTTTCAGTTGAGTCTTTATTATTCGAGTTCTTTGATCTTTTATACAATTACCATAGGAAATGTGTCTGGGTATAACCATTGTTGCCTAATGTGGTCAGCTAATTTCAATCTGAGTCTGTTTCTATGTGAAATGGGTTTGGCTATAGTTTTGTGAATATAAGTTGATTCTATTATCTGTAAAACTGATTCGAATATAGGTTCTCATTCCACCATTTCTATATATTTGAATATCCAGTGCATTTTAAAGGATAAAAAACTGTTCTCGCGGATACATAAACTAATTTTTCTTTGTTATTTGTATCATAATAAAGCCATGTTGATCTGCACATCAGGTTGCATAACAATCTTCAGTTTTTCCATTACCTAATTTTTCTTTTTCCATTTCATTGCAGGTGGTCAACTAGGAGCAGCTAAATATGCAATCATCTTCGCAGCTGCAGGGACGGCACTAGATTTCACCACCATACAGTTGAGACCCCGTTTTCAAAGCTTCAAGAACACTCTAACCAGGATCAAAAATGGAAATTCAAGCTGGAGTTTCCCAGAGTGGTCACCTATTCAAGTACTAGACGAAGAAGCTCTTGCTGCCAAGCGTGCCCGAGAACAACAATTATACGGCAAAAGAACATTTGATAAATTGAATAAAGAAGAATAAGGAGATTCAACAACTAGAAGTATGTTTTTACTTTGCAATTGTCAAGTTTCTGTCTCAGAGTTCCTCTGCAGTATGGGGACAAGTACAGCCGAGTTCCAGACTCAAGTTTCAAGTCTACACAAATAATCTCTCTTCCATGTCATGTTAGATCTTTGCTCTTGGGATCAGGATTAAAGGATAATACGAAAGCAATTCTCAAGGATAATAATCAGCTCAAGGCTGCTTGGAGCTGATTCTGAATTGAGTTCCAAATCCTTTGGAATGTGAAGCTGCTGCAACCTTTCTTTTGGATCGAGTAAAGCTCTTTTTGCTTGTGCTGCTGTTCTCAAACAAGCTGTTGAGCCATGTTTACATTTATTTGCCACAATGATTGTATTTATAATATTACATATCTTTTGAATTGTTTTTAGAATATTTTTGGAAGAGCACAAAAGTCAATTTTTATACGAAACTAGTTTCTTTATATGTTGATTTTGATATCAAATATCACGATTTAAATTTTAATATATTCATCAGATCTTTATAAATCAATCTTAGTCTTATCTATTTTCGTTATGAGATTAATCGGGATATTTTTAAAATAATATTAAATATTTTTTATTGTAATATATTCATCATATCTTTATAAATCAATCTTAGTTTTATACATTTTCGATATAAGTTTAATCTGGATGTTTCAGAAATAATATTAAATATTTTTTATTGTAACTCGGGGCTCAAACGACTATAGTGGCATTTTTGAGCCTTTAATTAAGGATACAAATGAATCCAATTAACTCTCAATGTGAATTCAAATTAACACTTTCAGTAATCGATTCCCTCTCCACTGTCTCTCTCTCTCTCTCTCTCTCTCTCTCTCAATTCTTCTTTACGAGGGATTACATCTTCACGTCAACGAATGGTAGATCGGCGATATGTTCAGAAATAAGGAAGAGGGATGGAAAGACAGAAGAAAACCATGGAGGAAAAGATTAGAAACGGGAAGAGAGGAACAATAGATGGACGAAGACAACTAAGTCAAATAAGTCTAAATAAAACACAATTCCTAACCATTAAAAAGATCTTAATATATTCACTCTTCCTACTAGTAAATAGTCCACGAATCACCTCTACGCAACCAAGTCAGGAGAGAGATCCTAATGGAGGGATAAATCTACCTCATCCTTCCCACCGTCCCATAAACAAACTTACATGGACAATCCCTACTCTCTGTTACGCAAAATGAGACTCAGTGTGATAAACCAAAGGTAAGAGTAAAATAGCTAAGTGATTGTTCGATGTATGATTGGGACTCGAATCCAATCTGAGAGCCTCTCAAGGACACAACTGGAGTGCTTTTGATATTGTGTGTTTGGTGACTCTTCGATCGAGGTAAAGAATAACATCGAGAATGGATTATTTAGCTATCATTGATTAATGTTCATCGAGAGAGAGAGAGAGAGAGAGGAGAGAATTAACATTAGATGAGTAAGTAGTGGTGTAAGTATAGATCGTAGTTATTTACCTTTCGTATTTGTTTCTATATATTAAAAAGTTAGATTGATATACTTATATTAAAACATCTAAATCTATTTACCTCGACGTCATCAATTCTATCAGTGAAAAATATAAAAAATAAAAAGATAAAATGATAATTTTAATATTTCAGTCGATAATAATGAATGATGACAATATTAAGGTCACGAGTGACTATTGTGGATGAGTAGAGTGTGAGGACAATTCTGCATCTACGTCGTTGCTGACGCAGTTGCCGAGCGACCCTCATATCTCATCATCACTATCATCATCCATAACAACCACTATGACTCCTAACCTATGCCGTCATCCATCATCATTAGTTGGAATATTAAAATTATTTTTTTGTTATTTATTTTTATATTTTTATTAGTAAAACAAATGATGTTAGAATAAACGATGACAATATTAAGATCACTGAGTGATTATTGTGGATGAGTAGAGTGAGAGGACAATTCTGTATCTACATCGTTGCTGACGCAGTTGCCGAGTGACCGTCACATCTCATCATCGCTATCATCATCCATAACAACCACCATGGCTCCTAACCTATGTCATCATCCATCATCATTAGTTGGAATATTAAAATTATTATTTTTATTATTATTTTTATTAGTAAAACCAATAATGTTAGAATAAATGGATCTATAAATTTTATTTTTATAATTATAGAGATATTAATATAATTTTTTTAAAAATATAAAGATCGAAATATTAAAGATAACTAAACTAATGTGTAATTAACCTAAGTCACAATATAACAACAACAAGGAGGCATGCAGTGTGCAAAGGATGGCGAACAGAAACCCATCTTTATTTGTTGTCTTTCTTCTTTATTGGCTCTCTTGCATAACAAGTGCGTGCCTGTGCATAAAGCTACTCCTTATTGCAAGAATCATTCATGCTCTCTTTAACGTGTTAATTATTGTGTATCAAAGGATAAATCTCCCCCACCGATTTGCACTTCAGGACTCGCTGCTACTGCATGCTACTTTGAGAGAGCATCTCGAGCAGGTCCATCTCCGGTTTCATGTCCTCGCAGCACAGCGGCATGGCTGCCATGTCTTCCCACTCCATCGCCACCTCCACCTCCACCTCCGTCTGCAAGCTCTTGTCAACGTCTGCACCGCAACCGAGCTGGTCCAAGAAATAACCGAAGTCATAACTCTCACACGGGACGGCCTTCTCCTCCTCCTCCTCCTCGTCGAACAGCAGGCTGGCCATGACGTCGCTGAAGTCGCATGCAGGGACCAAGTTATCGTCGCTGTTCGGGGAGGCATCTGCGGCAGCGCTCAACTCCTCCACCGCGCCCGCCGTCGCCGCCTTCGAGTTTCCGCTGCTGGCTTTGCGCCTCCTTGTGGACGGCGCGGAGCTCAGGGCCAAGCTTTTGATGTAGTTCTGCAGGAGCATGCCGGACTTGGGGTTCTTCCTGTTGCGGCACCGCCGCCGGGCGAACTGCCTTCGCTTGGTTGCGTTCCAGTGGTTCTTGATGGAGTTCTCCGTCCTCCCAGGGAGCCTCTTGGCGATCTCAGCCCATTTGTTGCCTACTTCGGTGTGAGCTTGAATCAGAATCTTGTCTTCCTCGTCACTCCATGTATCTTTCTGCATGAATACAACGAACACAGCATATTGTCTTAAACAACTTCAAAGAGTTTAGGTTGATATTTAAAGCTATTATTTTTAGATTTCAAGGATGCACTATGAAGAAGATAGCCCATTAATTGATACTTGAGATCGAGTAAAATCCTATTAATATTCATGAACAGACTTAAAAGAATAAGAAATACATCTCTGTTGTGATATCCGGATTGGTTAGTGCATTGTTGCACGAGTTATAGATCTCATATTGGAATCCATATATGCTACTGAATCTAATAGAACTGTCTTCCATACAGCAGTAAATTGTTGTGCTTCTTCGAAACATAATGATGGCATTCGTGAACAAACTTGAATTCTATAGAATCTTAGTCCCACGATTGTGTAACACATATGAACAGGGCATCATCTTATCTTCATATTTAGCAGCCCTCGAATGATGTTTAGGAGTAGGTGTGTCAATTAAGTAGATGGATGGATAATGGAGAAGAAAAGAGATCATAGCAAGATATTTGATCTAATGATGCAAATGAGAGTGTATGTAAAACCTTGATGTTTGGCCTCAGATGGTTGTGCCATCTTTCTCTGCATTGCTTTCCTATTCTTCCATGCAGCATCTGAGCAATGTGAGACCACTTCCTCAATCCATGCTGCTCCACCAGACTTATCAGCAATCTGCAGCATGCATTCATGAATCAGCAATCAATAGCTGATGCGGAAGAGAAAGGAAAAGACTTGCCTGTCTTCTTCAGCAGTCCATTGGCCTTTGACCACGCTGGTCTTCTTCTGTCCTTTACCCCCACTTCTTCTCGCAGGCATGGCCTTCTTGTTCTTCTCGACCTCCATCTGGGGCGGCTTGTTGTTGACCACACTGGACAGCTCATCGGGGTAGCTGAAGTCGATGGGAGTCTCGAGAGAGGGAGTCATCGAAACCATGCTAACATCTTCTGGCTCCACATGATCGCCATTCGTGCTCTCTGCGATGTAGCAAGGCAACCCCAGGCTTTGGATGTCTTCAATGGGCACCATGTTCTCTGTGTCATCCAATGGTGGAGAGAGATGTTGAGGGCAGAAGCCATCGAAGCCACAAGGGAAGCCATTGGCGATGCTGTGAAATGGATCATCCAGCCGGTAATTGAAATCTTGGTGCCCATTGGGATGGCATGCTTCCAACAATCCGTCGCCCATGTCGACCTTGAAGCACCCAAAGTCCATGGGGAAGAGAGAGAGAGATGTCACCATGTAGAGGACTGCATGCTATATCAACTGAAACCTACAAGAAGGATGTCTATTGTTACTATGTGGTGTAATTAGGGGAGGTGAGTTAATAGAGGATGTTAGTAAAGTGGAATTAAGCTGCTTTAATAGCAGTGTTAATGAGAAAATATACTTCATTAAGAAAGTTAGAGGGCTTTAGCTTCAGTTCTCACTTCCTCAAATCACTCGATGAAACATGAGAAACTGTGGCATATGGGAAAATTCTCCAGCACTCTTCTATGCTGCGAGACAAGGCATCATAAAATGCAAATTTAATGGGGCTGCTTTAAAGTGTTTTTAATGACTGTGTAAGTAATAGAATTCAAGTCAGCATTTATATATAATATATCTTCCCTGTACGCTTTATTTTCTACTGCTTCTCCTTCCTGTGTAGAAACCAAAAAATATTCTTGTGATGTATCATAGAGTATTTTGATAATTCTCCTTCGATACTATGTTTATATCATCTCGATATGGTGAAATCTTGACAATGAAGTGAATCAAGAAAAAGATGGTTAACATCTTCTAATTAATGTGCCATTAGAGCATGGGCCAAATGGAGATTCGATGCTATAGTATTTTTCAGATTTCGATGTGGTCCGAACTTTTCGATTATAAGTAGATGAGCCCTAAGGGTGTTTTGCAGAGAGAGTGAACATAATAACCACATATATCAGTGTCTTTGAATGGCTTGCTTGGAATATCCTCCCCTCCTCCCTCATGGTATCCTGCTACACCAGATTGTGACACATAAAACAAATTGGTAGGGGCTCCACGGTTCATCCCTCTCCACCAACTTTAACACTTGGGAGTTGGAGACTGCCACGGCTGGGAAGACTGATGGATCTGTAGCACTAAGTGGTTGGTCTTCGGGCATATGCATCTTTGTCTTCGCTGCCATTTGGGATCTCTCTTTGAGCTGCAAAATTAAATTTGTGTACAGTGTTAGGCCCATGAAAGCATAGTATTATTTGCACGTAAAAGTGTCAGGCAGGATCTTTTTTTCTTTTTTCTCCCTCTCACAAAAAACGACTACCATTCAACACTTCCAAATCAATTCAAAGGTTTCGATCCATTCGTTATGGATCTCAGGTGCTCCAAAGGTTTCCTAAGAGATCACTTTCCATGCAAAGCATGGAACCTTGCCTTGCCATATATTTATTGTTCCTCTCTATGGTTTCTACAATGTGGCTACAAAATTTCAGTGCAAGACACTTATTTTTCCAGAAAAAAAATATATTCAACTTCTATTTTCCAGAAAAAAATTATATTCAACGAATTATTTGCAAACGAGCAAGCTCTGAAGGTAAATATGCAAGCCTGAGTAGTTGATCACCTCACCAACTCATATGGTATTTTCTACAAAAAAAAAAAATCTGCCATTTAAATAAATGTTAATATAAGGTTCGCATTGCCATTTATACCTTTGGGCTTCCGACATGGTTCTTGCGGAAGGCTCTGACCAATCTTTGTACTAACCTTGAGTGTTACGGAGTCCAGGAGATTTTAACTTGATAGTGAAAAGGCAAGCAGGCAGCTTTGAGCACAGTTTTCTGCTTCTGCCATCTTTAGATGTTGAAAGAGCTCAGTTGAGTGACAACCCCCAAGACGGTTTTCCAAAAATTCTTGGAATCTGCATATCATCATACCAAGCTTCAGATATGAAATTTACTTGTTTTGACAACGCTGGGTTTGTCAATCTATTCTTGTAGTTTTCCTGGAGAACACTTCCATCCCAAGATTGTGTAACTGCCATTTCAGCATTAAGTTCCACCGAAATCATAACAAAGAGGCACTGGATAATATGTTAAATAGGAAAAACAAAGTAGGAAACTGAGATGGCAGGAGAAGTAGCCCTTCAACTCTCTTTCATAGTAAGTTGCATACAAGAAATTGTCATTTTGCCAAATTCATCCATGCCATGCTTTATTATGCCGTCGGTAAATGTTTAAATTATGCTAAAATAATTTTAGCTAGTAGTCCTTGAAAGTTGAAATAATTTGCCTCTTTTCGAGCACCAAAACTCAATCATTACCAGAGATCAGGCAGGTAGACTGCAACCAAATCCTAAATCTAAACACTAGACTGAACCCACTAAAGCCGTTTTTCCTCGATAGAGTAGTGAAGCTGATTTGAAATAATTGGGACATCAGGGCTTCTTGCTGTTATACTTGATAAAGTAAAAAAATTATTTCAGGTCAAATAATATTGTAGAGTGTAAACTGGCAGAAGCAACAATGACTTTAAACTAGTATGGGTTGTTGGTAAAGGTAGGGCCTACAGTTTGGTAGCAACAAGTTACTTTCTGCTGCCTTCATCAGCAACTTATACGGGTGAATAGAAAACCAGCATTTGCAACTGTTATATGTGACTGAAACCAGCTTTAGATCATAAAACTATGATGAATAAACTGATTACAGCTAAGTTAAGAAGAATATCAGCCAACAAGCTATGGTACATACTTGTAGACAAGTAGTTTCAGTAAAGAAACAAACAAACAAACAAAAAGTGCTCATAAGAAGAATTGATGAAATAAATTTAACTGCTGGTGGATGGTGAAATAAATATCAAATCATAAATATGGTGAAACAAAAAGTGCTCATTTGAATTTTCTACAAATGGAGAATTAGCCAATGAAAAATTGTAATAGCTAGCATGGACAAAAAGCTTTTGATCAGGCTTCTAAAAGATTGCAGTTAAGCTAGACACAAGAAAATTCCTTTCATGACAAATAAAAGTAAATGTGAAGCAAGATCAATATCTTCTATAATAGAACTATGATCTATGGAAGCATGTCTCCAAAAATCATCAAATCATAGCATAATTAAGAATCTTTGGTTAACTTGCTAAGACCTCCAGGAATTTTAACACAAGTTTAAAGCTACTGTTTTGTCATGCTCAAAGCATCATTAAAATTAAGGTCAGAATGGTCACAAATGTCTATCAGAAGTGGCTTTTCACCAAGATGGAACCAATATTTTGTGGAAATGCACCAGAACAGTTCATTGACCCAATATATTCTTATCAAATCCTATCAGATCATTTTAGAGTCTTTAGTACTCTTGTTTGGATATATTAATTTTTATAAAAATGGGAATATGATCATATATCATTTGCATACACGTGTAATTTCATTATTGAGAATAGTGAGCAAGACAGGGGAACAAATAATGGGATAAATTCAAAACAAGTGAACTGACTTTTAGTGTTATCCTCCTTGTTCTTTTCTTGTTTTTACATTTGTTCTTTCAACCTATCCACTCTTAAGCAAATTTTCTTGTTCAAGATAATCCATATCCCAACAATATTTTCTATTTTTAATAATATTTCACAAGAAAATTTCAAGAGAAATTTTTTTCTAAAGAACATTTTTCAATGAAAAATAAAAATTATTTTCCTAGAAAACTAGGTGATCCACTTTTCTAATTTTATTTATGTAATATTCAGTAAACAAATTATCTCCTAGCACACTCAACCTTCTTTTCTCTCTCTCTCTCTCTCTCTATTTTTTGACACCACCGATATACAACTTAACCCCAAATCTAAGTTTTTAAGTGTAATGGAGTGCAGACATGTGATTTCACCCTAGCTCGGTTTGATTAGTGCACCAATGATGCCAGTTGGTAGGGGTTTGCAACCTAGCACTAAACTTTAGTATAGACAGTAATATAGTGTTTTTATAATTGAACTTCTGGTTAAATCAAGCATGAATTCAAAGGGATCCAACTAAGATTCACATGGTTTAAGTCAAATTAGCACAAATCTAACCTAAACCTACCCAGCGGATCTAATCTAGATTTGTGTATATCTAACCTAAATTTAGATCCATAAGGATGAAACCTAAATTGACATGGGATCTACAAGTCCGTATGGTTGTACATTGCTTGTGATTCATTATTAAAGTTATGTGCATGCACTAATTCTAGCATTTTCAGATATCCTAGTTTTGTTATTTTTGCTTGAAACACAAAAAAAATAGGAGAAACGATTTGGGTACTAACTCAAACTATGAACTGGTGCAACTCGGTACCGGTATCCTACCAGCATGAGATGAGGTCATAATCAGTGGCAAACCAACATTTTGAATCCTGGTTATGAGACAGCAGAATACTAACAAGTAATCATGACCTATAATTAATATGGTCCCACACCAACATTCCGAGCAAAGTGAAGCATTTATATTTTTTGGGAATAGAGGAAGGAAAAGAAAAGAAAGGAAAAATAATAATAAAGATAATAAAAATTAACTACGACTCATTCTACCTCAAACAGTATCTCTTAAGGATGAAGAGTTCACACTTTCACGCGTCTCATTTCGGAGGAATTGAAATTAGTCCAATAAGTGATCTGTTTTCTATCTTCCTTTCCTCTCTTCCCAAATTATGCTACTACCTAAACCCCAAACTACTAAAAACCTTTGTTAGAGCTAACCAACAACAGAGACCAGTGGACAACCTCACAATGAAGTCAAGCTAGTCACAAAGAGAGGCACCGATGTCATTCTTCCTCCTCAAAACCAATGTCTTTAGATTTGCACTACTTATTCTTTCATTGTTTGAATTAAGATTTCTATGAATCGAACATGTTTTGTCTAATTCTCCCCATCTATCCCTTCTTTTTTCTCTTTTAATCAACTCTCTTCTAAATCCTTAAGCCTTATCACTCTTTAGGATTGTCCTAAGTCAACCTCTCTTTTATAGTTTTATTAGACAAAATAACTACTTTAACATCACCCTTTTCTAAATTAAGAGAAGTGCTTAAAATTACCATTTCTCAAAGCATGAAGATTACTTAGGATCTTTAGCATCCAGTACCTCTACCTCTCCAGTTATGTGCTCATTCTTGACTGATAATGCAAAATCAAACCTAGACAACTGGGTTAGTGCAATTCCATCAGCATTGTTGGGAAATTTGGACTGTTTTCGCCAAAA